CTTATGAAAGAAATTGAGGAAGACACAAAGAAATGGAAAAACATTCCAGGCTCATGGATTGGAAGAATAAATATTGTTAAAATATCTATGCTACCCAGAGCAATCTACACATTCAGTACAATCCCTATCAAAATACCATCTACATTTCTCAGAGAACTGGAACAAACAATCCTAAAATTTGTATGGAACCAGAAAAGACCCCGAATAGCCAGAGGAATGTTGAAAAAGAAAACCAAAGCTGATGACATCAAAATGCCTAACTTCAAGCTATATGACAAAGCTGTAATCATCAAGACAGCATGGTACTGGCACAAAGCAGACACAGAGATCAATGGGACAGAGTAGAGACCCCAGAGATGACCCTCAACCCTATGGTCAATTAATCTTCAACAAAGCAGGAAAAAATATCCAATGGAAAAAAGACAGTCTCTTTAAGAAATGGTGTTGCGAAAATTGGACAGCCACATGTAGAAGAATGAAACTGCACCATTTTCTTACCCCATACACAAACATAAACTCAAAGTGGATGAAGGACTTAATGGTGAGACAGGCATCATCAAAATCCTAGAGGAGAACACAGGCAGAAACCTCCTCAACCTTGGCCACAGCAACTTCTTGCTAGACACATCTCTCCAAAGGCAAGGGAAACAATAGCAAAAATGAACTACTGGGACTTCATCAAGATAAAAAGCTTCTGCAGAGTGAAGGAAACAACCAACAAAACTAAAAGGCAGCCTATGAATAGAAGAACATATTTGCAAAAAACATCTCGAATAAAGGATTAGTAACCAAAATCTACAAAGACCTTATCAAACTTAACACCCAAAAAACAACCAAGTTAAGAAATGGGCAGAAGACATGAATAGACACCTTTTCCAAAGAAGACATCCAGATGTCCAACAGACACATGAAAAGATGCTCAACATCAGTCATCCTCAGGGAAATACAAATCAAAACCACAATGAGATACCACCTCATACCTGTTCAGAATAGCTAAAATTAACAACACAAGAAACTACAGGTGTTGGCAAGGATGTGGCAAAAGGGGAACCCTCTTAACACTGTTGGTGGGAATGCCAACTGGTACAGCCACTCTGGAGAACAGTATGGAGGTTCCTCCAGAAGTTAAAAATAGAACTACCCCACCATCCAGGAATTGCAGTACTAGGTATTTACCCAAAGGATACTAATGTACGGATTCAAAGGGGGACATGCACCCCGATGTTTATCAACAATAGCCAAACTATGGAGAGAGCCCAAATGTCCATCAACTGATGAGTGGATAAAGATGTGGTGTGTATATATGCAATGGAAAACTACTCAACCATCAAAAAAAATGAAATCTTGCCACTTGCAACAAGGTGGATGGAAGTAGAGTGTATTATGCTAAATGAAATAAGTTAGAGAAAGACAAATACTATATTATCTCACTCATATGTGGAATTTAAGAACGAAAAGAGATGAACATATGGGAAGGGTGAAAGCAAAAAAAGGACAGAAGGAAACAAGCCAAGAGAGTCAACAATAGAGAACAAACTGAGGGCTTATGGAGTCAGGTGGGTGGGGGATGGGCTAAATGGGTGATGGGTATTAAGGAAGGCACTTGTTATGATGAGCACTGGATGTTGTATGTAAGTGATGAATCACTGAATTGTACTCCAGAAACTAATATTGCACAGAATGTTAACTACCTAAAATTTAAATTTAGAATTTACTAATTTATTAAAATGGGAAGCCAACCTTACACTTTATATTTTGGCTAACAGGAAAGAAAATGTTAACACACAACACAGTGTAGTAAATAGTTTCATCAGCATCTCATTTACAACTGAATTTTACATTTGAGTGGCATTTCTACTGCTGCAGAGATAAAATCTTCTGGCTTAAAAAAAAAAAAAAAAAAGTCTTCGTGGCGCCTGGGTGGCTCAGTTGGTTAAGCGGCTGCCTTCGGCTCAGGTCATGATCCCGGGGTCCTGGGATCGAGCCCTGCATCAGGCTCCCTGCTCAGCGGAGAGCCTGCTTCTCCCTCTCCCTCTGCCTGCCTCTCTGCCTGCCTCTCTGCCTACTTGGACTCTCTCTCTCTGTCAAATAAATAAATAAAATCTTAAAAAAAAAAAAAATCTTCTAGCTCCCACAATGAAATAATTCCAGTAAGGAGCACAATAAATATTCCACTGTATCTCAGGTCATTTTGGTCATTTCTCAAAAAAACCTGGCAATCCTATTAGGTCTTGCATGTCAATTCCAACTCCCATGTAAAAATAAATGCTATTTCAAACCTTTGCTATGACAGATGAATTTCCATAGACTTGTCTTTCCTCTTTCATTCATCGGATAGTTGGTAACTTATTTCACAAATGAGGTAGGTAATTTTGGAGGTAGATGCTTTCAACCATTGAAGTATTCCTGCATTCGCATCTCCTGTTTATGCCATCTTCCCGTTAACAGGTGAGGAATTACTTTTAATCTCAGTTTGGTTGTTTATCTCTAACTTTATGTTTGGGTCCTGTTATTTCCTGCCATATCATGAATTTTATGTTATTACTTATAAACTAATAACTTTACTCCCTATTTGATCGATCCTCTTAGCACTTAAATATTAGGTATCTTCCAATCTGAAATTTGAATTTAAAAAGAAAGTGTTTCTGGGCTGCTGTTATGTCTAGCTGTTGCCTTCTTGTCTCCTTTAATCCAGGGAAAGGTGGGGCCCATTCATCAGCATTTCTCTTCATCTCACACTATCTCATCCCACTCGTCTTTTTGTTTTTTTTTTTTCTTTTGGTCCCCATTAGTTCATGGGCATTATTCTTGCTGACATTAATTCATGGATGAGCCTCCTGAATGTTGAAAGTCCTGTACTGACAGGTCTACGCTGATAGGTGAGACTCAGTGAGGATGTCCTAGAACTGTATGACCCTCCAGAAAAAATGTCAAAACCATGGGATAAGGCCACAGTTATTATCTTGAAAAAAATGTGTAAACTTTAGGGGCACCTGCGGGGGTAACTCAGTTAAACATCTGACTCCTGATTTCGGCTCAGGTCATGATCTCAGGGTCATGAGACTGAGCCCCACATCAGGCTCTGCACTCAGAGTGAAGTCTGCTTGAGATTCTCTCTCTCTCTCTCCCTCTGCTGCCCCCCCCAACTGGAGTGGGCACGTGCTCTCTCAAATAAATCTTTTTTTAAAAGAAGAAAAAATGTTTAAATTTTATACTTATTAAAGAAGTTTTGAAAATGAATGAACCAATTGTTCAACTTTACAAACTAAGAAAGTAAAAGGAAGCAAGAGTTTAACTGACATTTCAAGTTTTACAAAGAAGATAATTAGTAAAAGTTAAAAGATTAAATAAAAGATTAAAGAATGAAACAAGGAAACACTACATTAAAAAGGACACATGAAAAGCTGCTTTCTCAGGCAAGATCAATCTCGAGAGTCACTCCTGAGTGTGGAGATGACTTTTAGGGCTTCCAGTCAACAGAACACTTTGCTGTACGGCAGCCACAAACAAGAAGGAATTCGCTATGTGGCAGACAGTCCTCTGCTGTTCGCTGAAACATTGGTGAATTCAGGAGCATTAAACTCCTTTATGAAGATCAACAGATGGATTTTTCTGCCTGTTTCTTCAGAACACACTCCTATCCTAGTGAAGCCCACACACTGTGTGGCAGCAGTGAGTATATGCACTGGACCTATGTTCCCTTAAAAATACAGACCCCATAGTCTCTGCTAGTAGCTGCTGAGCACAGGGTCAGAGCAGACACTTCCATTTCTCCTGCTCCTGAGCTTCTCTGTCTCTCCCATTCCTGGGTCCCTAAGCCCCAAACACCACTCTTATTCCCTCTCCAGACTCCCTTCACACAGTCAACGCGCTTCTGCCTCCCTCCTCCTTGGAGAGATACTTCTGTTCTATGCTTGGTTTAAAAAAGTCTGGACTTTTTTCAAGCTATCTTGCGACCCCCTGAGGAACAGCACTGTCCTCACAGGAACGACATGGCCTGGACGGGATAGTGTGGCAGGTTTTGCCCTTCACACCCCTACCCCAGAAACTTCAGATCATGTATCTCAATTCCTGAGCAAGAGCCGCTTCTCTGTCATGGTTTTACTCACAATCTTTATTCACAATATGTAATTCCTCTTTTCCAGAACATCCTATTAAACTATCAAAAAATATGAAATTAAGAAGACCTAATTAGTAGCACTGGAAAACACGAAAGAAGGTCAGCAACGGAAACAGCTGAGTAATTTATTCAATTATGAACAGATGGGCGCTCTTTCAACAAAGTTCCACAACAATCCAGCATATCCTTGATCATTTCCAGAGACATGGCAAAGAGAACATAAACATACTTAACTGGGAAACAGTTCACAGCCCACTACGGTAAAAGGTCACCTAAGGGGAGAAAGATGTGCCATATTAGACTAACTGGTTAAACTAAATTTTGGCTGTTAATATAAAAAGTTAAGCCCATCGGACCCACTTCCCTATCCTCAATTTTACCCGCGCTTTTTCTCGTCCCTCTCCTTGGCTGTTTCCCTGGTTCTCCCCTTGTCTCTCTCTTTCTCCTTATCCCCCTGCCCCAATTCCACATTCACAAGAAGAGAATGAACATTCCCTGCCCAGGGAAAGCACACTTTCTGGTGGCACAGCCAGTGGGAAGGGACGGGACAGAACAAGGGGTGTCAGAGGATGGGGCGGGTGAGCGCCCCAGCACGAGGCCTCCCTGAGGAGGTGACTGTGGAGGGGCCCGAGGAGCAGCCGGGCCGACCCCGAACGACGCGTGGAGGAGAATTCAGGACTGGGTCTACAGGATTCGACGTCAAGAGGGCGAAGCGTCCTGGTGCCGCCCTCCCGGTGCCGCGAAGGGCGAGAACGCACCTCGCGAGCGGGGACTTGACACGCGCCGGGTGCGGAGGGGAGACGGGGGAAAGAACAGAAGCAGAAGAGTTGGGGCGGAGACGGCTTGGGAGCCAGCCTACCGGAAACAGACGCGGATCCAGACCAGCAGCACAGCGTCTCGCGACCGGGCGGGGCTCCCCGCGGGCGAGGCTGGCGGAGGTGGGCGCTGTAAGGTTCGCGAGGCCCCGGACTCCGGGTGTGAAGGACGCAACACCGCGGGCAGCGACGTGCGAGCAGCGACGTGCGAGGTACAACTGGAACTGCTGAAACTCACGCCAGCGCAGACGCCCTTCCATCCGGGAAATCTGCTTCCGGGTGGGCCGGAAACGGCGAGCGCGGGTGGGGCGGGGCCTGGAGGGAAGGGTTTGTGCGAGGCGGGCGCGTGCCTCCGCCCCACCTCCAGGACGTTTCCGGTCTGCGCGTACTTCCGCCCCAGAGCTTGGGTCGGCGCTTTTGCGTCCTGGTGAAAGTGTAGGGTGGTCTGTGGGGCCGGGCTGCCCTACTCGGCTTCAAGGTAATGATTCAGGTACTCTAGGTAACAGCTTAGCGTTGGCGCCAGCAATATGGAGTGCGGAGCTGTTTCCTTCTCAACAGTTTGAGAACGGCTTAAATAAAAAACCCTTTGTGCGTGCCTGTGGGTCCGCGGGCTCGGAGGGGCGGCCCGGGTGCGGGGACCTCTGTGCGGAGATGCAGGCGGTGTGCGGGGCAGGGACGTCTGCAGCTCCACCTGTTAAATGTGTGTTTCTTTTTCGGTGGGACGAGTGTGAACGCCGAACTCACCTGTGCGAAACCGCAGACGGTAGCTTCCGTTTGTCTTCCCTGCTCGCGGGGCGGCGGAAGGACTTCGCGGGCCCAGCATTGGCAGTGAGGATGGACGGCCGAGGCCTTGGTGTGATTGCGCACATCTGGAGAAGATGTATAAATTCAGATGCCTTTGAGCCAAATGTGCATGACATCAGCAAATTGCCTGAGTTACTACATTTCACATTTTTCTTTACTCCAGAGTTAACCGAAAGAACATTTTTAATTTTGAAAAGTCAGATGTTTTAATCTGCATTTTTTCTATCTCTAAATGTTTTGTGTCAAGTGTGGACAATATTAGTTTTTCATTATTTCTATATACACCTGATTGAAGTGTCTTTTCGCTGACAAGAACAGTAAACACAGTAAAACTGGATTCTCAGATTTCAGTTGCCTCATTTATACCCTTAATAAATATTAATTGTGAAATATGTAAGTGAAAATCTTTTCTATCTCCTTCATAAATTCTGAAGTTCATACTAGAGGGAATTTGGCAAAACTAAATCCCAACTACTCTTGCTGCAGAAATTTCTCAAAGATGATTCCCGAAGAAGAACTCTTCTGGTTTTCCCAAAACCTACACAAATTTCTCCAACTTTTACATTTTTTTAAAATATTAAATATCTGGACTCATAGATTTAAGTTCTGGAAGGATAATGTTCTCTTAGGCAGGGGAACAGTAAACACTGGGGATCCTATGGAGGGAGTCGGGGGAGCCCTGCCCACAGTGCCTCCAGGGCGGAGATCACTTCACCTGAGCTCACCTGACTCAGATCTGTGGGGAACTGGACACAGACTAAGGAGGGCTGTATACGATTTGGGGCCAAGGAATCCAGCTACCTGAACCTCTCCCCCATTCGGTCTTCATCCCCCTCTCTCTACATAGAAGTCAAGTGATACAGTTCTGCCAGTGTAAACCATCCAGCCTCCAACCCACTTTCTCCATCAAATCTTCTGTGTTCTGGCTTACACATAGAATGCTTCAGGAGGCTGGAAGTTGACCGAAGTGATATGTGGGTGCACGTAGGGTGCGCATTGTTTGGAAGCTCCCTATGAAAAGCCAAGCTTATAAGATGGTGACTTAGTAGACTAAGGTCTGCCCACATCTCTGAATCTCTATTTCCCTGGCTGAGAATTAGGTCCCATGAAAGCTGAGGAGTGAAAAGAAAGAGTGCATTGAAGTATAATTACTTCTATGTTTTTGTTATAGTAGTAATAAAATGAAGAAATATTTTCCAGGCATTCCTTAGAAAAATGCCTTCACTAACAAGGCAAGAAACCACAAATGTTGGAGAGGTTGTGGAGAAAGGGGAACTCTCTTACACTGTTGTTGGGAATGCAAGTTGGTACAGCCACTTTGGAAAACAGTGTGGAGGTGCCTCAAAAAATTAAAAATAGAGCTACCCTATGACCCAGGAATTGCACTACTGGGTATTTACCCCAAAGACACAGATGTAGTGAAAAGAAGAGCCATATGCACCCCAATGTTCATAGCAGCGATGTCCACAATAGCCAAACCGTGGAAAGAGCCAAGATGCCCTTCAACAGATGAATGGATAAAGAAAATGTGGTCTATATATACAATGGAATATTACTCAGCCATCAGAAAGGATGAATACCCAACTTTTACATCAACATGGTTGGGACTGGAGGAGATTATGCTAAGTGAAATAAGTCAAGCAGAGAAAGTTAATTATCATGTGGTTTCACTTATTTGTGGAACATAAGGAATAGCACGGAGGACATGAGGAGAAGGAAGGGAAAAATGAAGGGGGGGAAATCGGAGGGAGAGACGAACCATGAGAGACTATGGACTCTGAGAAACAAACTGAAAGTTTTAGAGGGGAGGGGAGTGGGGGGATGGGTTAGCCCAGTGATGGTTATTAAGGAGGGCACGTTCTGCATGGAGCACTGGGTGTTATATGAAAACAATGAATCAGGGCACCTGGGTGGCTCTGTTGGTTAAGCGACTGCCTTCGGCTCAGGTCATGATCCTGGAGTCCCGGGATCGAACCTCACATTAGGCTCCCTGCTCCGCGGGAAACCACCTTCTCCCTCTCACAATCCCCATGTTTTTTTTCCTCACTCCCTGTGTCTTTCTGTGTCAAATAATTAAATAAAATCTTTTAAAAAAAAAAGAAAACAATGAATCATGGATCACTGCATCAAAAACTAATGATGTATTGTGTGGTGACATAACAAAAAATAGAATTTTTAAAAATCATGAGAAAGTAATAAAAAAAGGAAAAAAAGAAAAATGCCTTCACTAAAGAATGAGTCCCCTTTTGAAGAACTGACACAGCCCTACATAATCATAATGACTGGAGGATGGCACTTTGAAGAGGGTCACTCTGATGGCCTGATGAGTAGGTGGAATGCATGTGTGTAAGAGAACCTGTGTTCACATCATTCCTGGGATATGATGTGAGCTGTTTCGCACAGGTGAGTTCGGCGTTCACACTCGTCCCACCGAAAAAGAAACACACATTTAACAGATGGAGCTGCAGATGTCCCTGCCCCGCACACCGTCAAGTGCCCTGAATATCCTGACATCTGAGGGAGCCTCCAGCTGAGAGCAGAGTTGTGCTGTGAGTCAAACTAGGGAGCTGTTGTGGAATGAAGCGGTTTCTCTGTTGGGTTTAGGAGGGTGGAATGAAGGAGCTTGAGCTTGGAGATTCTGATTCCCCTACCTGGGGACTTGACCACATGAGAGGGTATAAAGTATGAAGTTTGTGAATATGGTGTCCCCCGGTGCTGAGACATTTGTTTGCCTTTTGTCCTGAGATTCTGCTGAGATCTTTGGAATGCTCAGACACCGTTTGTCTCATTTTTTTTCATGATGAAAATACGTTCACGTGTGGGTGTGTATATTAATACTCTAATCATGCCATGTTGAAAGTGAAGAAAGCACAACAACCCGGAGGTAGAAAAGTGGGAGATGAAGAACACAAACAATGAGTCTGTGATGAAAATCCACTCTCCAGCCATGTTCTAGGCCAGTCCCTCCAAATGGCCTTCCTGAGATCGGACAGTTAACGATGGAGCTCCAGGTTCATGACAGCTCCCTCATTCCAGCCTCCTGAGGAGCCAGCCCCTCCTGGTCAGAGTCCTTATGTCTTACAGTGTTCTGAGGGGTGCTGGGCTCTAAGCTGATGCAGATAATTCTGAGGAAGCTCTTGGCTGCAAGTTCACCCTCTCCAGCCTTTTCAGGAGGACAAGAGCAGTTTCTATGTCCATGAATATAATTGGAAAAGTTTACTGGTCCTGGAGGGCCAACGATGCCCTCCCTGGGTCATCACGGCCAGCACAATGTGTTCCTGGTCCCTTGGGATGCCCCCAACAGCACGAGCGCCGGCAGAGATGGTGGGTGTGTATGTCAGCGGGGAGCCCTCAGTAATCATCTTTGCTATTCATTTAATGGAAAGGTGGCAGGTAACTTTTTTGTTAGTGGCAATTGGGACAACTTTATAAAATAATTAATACTATGTAGCTTAGAACATCAGAAAAAATTATTCCTGACTCATTGACATCTCCCTAAAAACCTCTATTATTAAAGCAGAGGGTCTTTTGCTCCTAATTTTCGAATACACCATTTACCTGCAGTCTTTCTAACCACAAAAGTCTATGAATTCAAATACCGTCTTCATATAGAACACAAATACATACTCCTCTCATTTCTGAATGCATATAAAACAAACTCGTGTCCAAATACAAAATCCCAAATCTGACCAAGGCCAGGCAATATGCACACACACCTGCAGTCCCAGATGCACACACTTATCCCATATAACCCCCAGGTGAACCACAAAATGTATAATAAACATGCCAAAAGCTATGTAGATGGCCCAGCCCCGTTGCCCCTTAAGAACACACCATTGAACTTACTTTGACAACCTGCCAAAGATTGAACTTACATTGACAACACTCAATACCAGTAGGAAGCATGAAAACAAAACCCCCTACCCCCCCGTATCACACAAACACTTCCACATTCAGTTCTTCTAAGTCACTGAACATGGGTCCCATATTGCAAAAATGGAAACATCCCATGCCCAGCATCAGCTGACTTTCCGAACACCACAACTGGCATGTCCTCAGACCCAGCAACAGACCCAGTCCTCTCCCGAAATCTTGCAGTGGAGACCTACACTCCAAAGCCCAGGATACACAGATGCACACTGAGTTTAATGTCCCATGAACACATGCAGAAAGACATAAAGACAGTCCCTCCACATGCCTAGACTACTCCATGTCAGAAAATACTTCCTACATATGAATTCACCCTGGAACGTTCTCCCCACTACCTACCAGCACCGGTATACACAAAGACAAACCTTCTGCCCTCATTTCTTCATCCACGAGTGACTGTGTGTGCATGTGTGCATGCTTGTGCGTCAACATTTGTTGACTGGGCTACATCAAGAGACCTCTTACCCTTCTTGTTATTCCTTTTGTTACCCCTGGCCCTCTCCCACATATGGGACTTTGCCAATGTGCATTGCCACCTGAGCAGGGATGTCCCTGGGCTGAATGGTTGAGCAGGTGGCTTTCCCGTTCTGTATTTTGACTCGTGAATCATGACAGCATTGGAAGGCATAGGGAATTCTGTCTTCCTGAGGTTGGATTCAGGCTTTGGCCAGTATTGTCCTAGAGAAATTTCCACTGGTTTAAGGCATATTCGTTTGGTTTCTGTTTTTTCAATGTTCTCCTCCAACACAAGAACTTTGATGTAGGAGTCTTTTTCAGGCAATGGAACTGCTCCTTTCTCTCTGGACTGGCAGCAGAGTTCTTCACCCTCTTCCAGAGACTCCACAGATTTTTCTAAGTTCACTTTTGAGCTCTAGGAACCAGTAGGACTGCATGAACCTCTGGAAATTTTCTAAGCACCTCAGGTGTGCAAGCCTGGAGCTTGACTACAAGTCCTGTAGAGGGCTATCTGCCAGTCTGAGCAAACTCAGAATCATCTAAGTCCTCTCTGGAAACTCCAGAACCACAGGTGCCGGCCTGTTTTGCCCCCTGCTAGTGGGGAAGTACCATGGATGATGCCCTCCAATCATGGTATGGAGATACTTCTAACATAATGGGGCCCCGGGAAAACTAGATGGCAGACGGGGAGACAGGAGGTGAGATCTGATGTAGAGCTGGGGGCTCAATGCCCCATGTAGGCGGGGCTTCTGAAACCTGGAGGGGGCAGTGTGGGTCTGGTCACTCCTTCCTGGTTGGGAACCCTGCCCAGCCATCCATGTGGCAGAACCACAGAAAGCTTCTGAGTGGCCTGTGGTTGGCAGGACCTGGACCAGGGTCCCTGACCGGCGCTCGGTAGTGATGTGTCCCGGTGCTGGTGCAAGGGGCCCCACTTTCACCCATGGCCTCATGTGGCTTGTTTCCTTTTCCCTGCGACCGCCCTTCTTTGCCATCACAGACAGCATTT